TGCTGTTGACACACATCTATATTGGAGAATCTGGTCACATGAGGTCCATGAAGCTTTTGTGGTTTTACTTGGTATATTTCAGAGCTCGCTTATTTTCCCCTCACTCCTAATGAACTTGTAACCCCATTATTATACTGGTAAAAACAAAATGAATATTGTTAGTTGCAGACAATAATTTGAGTTGATTTCAATAATCTGTGCTTGTGGTTGTGTGACAGAAGGATGTTGTTTTTGATTCTGGTGTCTATAGCAGAGTAAGTAGGTAGTAGGTGATAAAGGGGGCAACTGTCTGTCTGTGTATTCTTACAGGAGGATAATCTCGCCTGGAAGGACATTCCTGCGTTGCCGACCAACGCTTACTGTATCACTGTGACTAAGACATAAGTGCAAAAGGGCAAAAGGGGCAAAGAGATGCTGAGAAAATGACAGTGGAAGAGTTATGCGAACAATGACGGGACAGAGAGATAAAGACAGATTGGGAGACAACTTCCCATTTATCACCACTTCTCCTCCTCTGCATTAGAGTTTGGACAAAAACCGCAGAGCTGTCACTCAACTTGCAGCAGTTTATACCCTCCGGTGACACATGAACTTGGAAGAATGACAGCCGGGCTGCATTAGCACGTGCAAGTGTGTACATGCACACAGACACACACCATTGCAAACACAAAAAAACACACTTTGTCTACATGAGCAATACTTACTTCCATTGCTAACTGAGACAAATTGGGATATGCAGTAAATATTTCAGGTTGAAGTTTAAATGAAGGAAAAGAGACTCTTATAGAAAGACTCATACTAATGTGAAAACATACATTAAAGTAGTGTTATTGGGAGATGGTGGGGCAGGGTTCTGGGGTAGTGAGGGTACAGTTGCCTTTTTTTCCCCTGGCATTGTTGAAATTTACTCTAGGGAGTTGTTGAAACAATTTTGATCCTTCTTTTCCCCCAGCTATATGGTGCAATAGACATACAAAGGCCATATAGTCTTCATGTTTCTTCTATCTGGCATATTTTCTTGACTTTTCATGCTGAAAAATTGTCAAGAGGGAAGAGAAGGATCATACACTTCTGCTGTGTTCCAAATCACATACTTCTTTTTACTTTGAGTAAACTGTTGCGTGCACACAATACTTCGTCATAACATTGACCTTTGAACTTTGACCTTCTTGAGCACACATCTGCTGCAGTCGTGGTGCGAAATTTGAAGTAAAAAGAAAAAGTATTTGATTTGGAACGGCTGCTATATTACTTAACGTAACCTTGGAGACGCAACAAAACCCCAGTCACTCTGCTGTTGTTGCTTTGTAATGTCTGTTACATGCAGTATTATATTCACAACAGTAAATAAATAAACATTGCTCTGTTGTTATTTTCATAGTTATGTCATCTGTCATTGTCTCTTCTGTCATCTGTCTCAGCTCAGTTGAAGTGACATTTCTTTCGCTGCACAGAGGATTGTCAGAATAACCCAGCATGCTGGGCTGCAGACTATAAAATGCGACTGGATGCAGTAGGACATCCTGGTATTTTTGGATTGCTGCGTTTGACAGATTATGTATTGGAACACACTAAATCTTTTTTACTAACATCCTAAATCGTATGGAAGTAAGGAACCCACAGTGATCATTTATCAGCCTTATAAATCTCTCATCAAAGAGAACTAAACAACTGTGAGAACCAGACAGGGAAAGCCATCTGATCACACTAGAAACATCCATGGTCACCTGGCAACCAAAACTATGGGAGCATAATACACTGCGACACACCTTTGCAAAGGCTCAGGCTGAGGCTACTCACCTGAGCCAAACCTCAGTGCTGGCAGAAACCCACAGGCTGACAAGTGTGACTGACAGCTTTGCAAAGCCAATACAATGGAAACAAACAGCAGCCATGACAGTTATCTATAGCTTTATTCAAAAACAACCCTGACAGCTTGAAACCACTCGTCTTTCGCTTTCACATGTGACTATCCGTGGATAATTGCGGCAGCTTTTTTAAACATTTTACATTCAGTAAACAGCTTCCATGACCACAGACTAACTTGCTGTCACCTCTGCAGCCCCGGGAAATTTTATCCCAATACACACACAGACAAGTGCACAGTTATACACAAACTAATGCCACATGTGATGCACACCTGCATGTTTAACCTCATGACACCCCTCTCTGATTGCTCGCCCCTGTCCCAAGGGGCTGAGGAGATAAATGAGCTCATGTCAGACACACACACCGACAGGGATAATGATGAATTACATATATATTAGCACACAGCCTGAGGACTCACTCTCTCTGTCACATACATCCGCACACAACCTTCTTGCACTTAAACAGCAAACACCGAAAGAGAATGAGTCAGCTGAATTCTTAATGCGCGCGCACACACACACACACACACACACACACACACACACACACACACACACACACACACACTTGATGACAGGTATTTCCACTTCAGGAGAGCCACAATGCTGAGCTGTGAGCCGGGTGTCAGTCACTTCCTGTGTGAAGAGGTCAGAGGTTAAACACTCTTCAGTCGTTTTAAATCCTACCACAGAAAGACAGTGAGACAGAGCAGAGAAATTGTCTGCAGTAACTGGACCGTTTTCTTCTCCTTATCCCTGCAATCTTCACCCTCTGTTCCCACTGAGCTGAACGTGTTCCAAGTAATAGAAACTGCTGGTTGTTAGAACTTCCTTCGCCGAAAAACTGGAAGTCATTAACGCTTTTTTCACCATGAAAGACCAATGCAAACCCAGACAACAATCGGTAAAGAACAATTTTACAAACTGATGGTTACCCAATGTGAGGATTTTGCTTTTCTGTTTTCTATCACAGGGAGACAAATGTGTTTGGGTTGTGGACCGTCAGTAAGGCAAAACAAGAAGACGTCATCTGGGGCTGTCGGAACTTGTGATTTTTCTTTAAGATGAATCTTCTGGCATTTCTTTGACTAAACAAATAACAGTTTAATCAATAATTTATATAAATAAAAATAACACAATGAAAATAAGATGAAACCATGGTTTTGAAACATTTTTCTGAGTTTTTGCTTATCTCTCATTTTTTTTTGCCTCTTTTGAACTTAAGATCCACTTTTAAAACTGACCCACATCAGAATCCTCTCTTTCAACTGTTCTGAACGCATGAATAAACTTCAAATGCAAACCTAACCAACAAGAAAAGCTGGATTGCAATCTGAAATTAGATCAAGGAGGAAATGATAATTGGAGCAGGTGGGTCAGATAGGGTTAGGGTTTGAGTTGAGTTGTTTAACATAGATCAACGGGCTCATGCCTGACAAGCTCCAAAGCAATGCTGTATCTCTAATAAACTAAGTGCATCCTGTGCATGAATTAAAATTGTTCCTTTCAATTATTTCATTTCCAACAGTGTACCAGGGCCACTGTAGGCTACACTAAGTTTTAAAAAAAGGAGGAGAAATGTATTAGACAAATGAAAGGTATTAGACATACCTTGGATTGCATTACAATGTACAGAGGTTTCTTTTTTCTGGTCCCTTAATCTGTAAAACATTGCTCAAACAGGACATTTGGCAGCTCTGAAATTCACCCACACATCTTTGTGGAAACTATTTTGTGTTGTTTTGGTAGAATCTTGGAACCTTTCAAAGATGGCGTCACAAATGGCACTAGCTGCTGAAGTCTGTAAGCGGATGTTTACCTGCACTCTATCAGAGGGTCAACCAGTTTTAGCTTTATTGATGGACTGGGCTGTCTCATACTTTCCTTAACTGCATTCCATCCACATCACATTACACACATTGCAAATTAGGTAGGCATCGACACTACAGGGTATATTGTCCATTTGTTGATGTATTACAAAAGCGCTTCTGAAAGATAGTGACCCGTTTCATTGCTGATCTGACCAGTGTCTGGAGTAGTTTTCAGTGTGGATTCAGGGTTAAGACTTTGAATGAATGAGCCAACATGCACAAAGAATACAGGCCCAGGTGTGTGACCGCTGCTTCCATCGCCTCAGCAGTCAGTCAGCAGGGCCTCCTCGCTAATCCTCCACCATCACTCAACTGGATCTCAGCTCTAATCTTGCTAGGCCAAAGCTCAGCAGAGGGGCGCTCCTGGCTTTCAACTGAAAACCTGACAGCTAATCTCAGCCACAACACCCCTGGGTAACCCTACACTCTCCCTGGGGAGCAGCCACAATACCCCCGGGCCACAGTGATGAGAGAAAGACCTCCCGAATATCAGAGACACTTCACACCTAGTGAGAGATGGGAGAGATAATATGATGGCTCATTTTTTTGTTGTTTGGATGCTCACAGCTGGTATAAACACGGGCACACTTTTCCATGCACAAGCTAATGAAAAAAGACACCGATCATTTTCTCCTGTGCAACACCTGCACTCGCAATTAAAGACTTTTTCAAGGTTGCTTGCCTGAATATGAGCACCCATTCAGCACCAACTGGCAGGATGCAGCCTACATTACTCTTAAAGAGGCCGACTGGCTTGTTTCCAGCTGTTTAAAAGCATACAATAAGCAGCCAGAGGCTGTCAACTGGAACCGTTATGGCTGATAAGTATATGGTCCCAGACACAATGACCGGCAATCAGATACATGCAGAGAAAATATGTTACATTCATGTTAAGGTCAGGTATATGGAACAGGAAATATGTGCTGTGCTGTGTTCATGAATTATATAGAACTATATGAATTACGTATTATTACAGTTGATTTGGCCTGTATTCCTACCCAACTGCGTGGTTGGCAATATAAAGCCAATATCCACTCAGATAGTATTTTGCTAGTGATAATGTGTGCAACAAAGCAAGCTTCGGTTAGCCAGCCAGTCAGTTGCAACCCAGCCACACTTCATAACATTATCCGGCACCGGCTGCCCCACAAAGTAGACAGAAAGAGAGAGAAAGGGATTCTGAGCGCGCACCGACGTCACATCCTATAAAGTTCTGTTTGGTTTTTTTTCAGATACAAACACAGGGAGAAGCCTGACTTACCACTTCAGTAGGGCGGAAGTATTTTGGGTCCACCTTCACATGTACCACCCCTGTCTCCTGGCAACGGCCGACCTCCTTCTCATCCTTTCCATCCCACCTGGAAAGACACAAAGTTTTAGCAGGAGGAGACATTTTCCCACAGCTGCTGGAAGGTTCAGCTGTCCGTCCCTCCGTCTCCCTGATCATTTCTTAGGCAGTTTGTTTCTTTAACGCCTCGCGCAGACAAAACATGTCACCTGCCTTTTTTTTTTCTGAAACCAACACAACAGGCACTGCATCTTCCGGGACACAAGAGGGAGGTGAATGAGGGGTGAGACAGGGGAGGAGACGGAGATGTGGCACTGAACAGGAGACAGGAGTTTCCACAATATAGCCTCTTTCAGCCTTTCAATCTGGAACATTACTGGCTTCATCTATCCATAAATGTTCCGTGATGGCTCTATTCTAACACGACAACCAATGCAGAGAGAGCTGCAATGTTTTCGTGATATTTGACATCTGGCACACGAGGGGGAACAGTGGCACTGCTGGAAAAATGGCACTGAGCTGGAAAATAACACGGAGGAGGAAGAGTGTTCACATGATGATTAAATTAAAACTTATTTTGCAAATGAATAATCTCTGTTGCTTAATTAATGACAATCCTGCTGCTTCTCAGTCCAAGAAAATCTATACGTCCCCCAACACATTTTCTCATCATTTCATCACTCATCATGTAGATTGTTATACAGTCAGACGTTGCCGAAGCAGAGCTAAGAAAAAACAGTTGTGACTTCTTTCAACTGACAGACATTTTTCTGGATATACTTGTATGTTTTGTTGGATAAGCAGTTGGATGAAAGTTGAAAGGGGGGCTTAGCTAATAGTCTGGGGTGTTTAGTAAAACATTCTTCAAAAATAAACAGATTTTTATACTCTTGTTACATCTCATGTCATCTTCTCCACATATTTAAACTGGCTCATGCACATTATTTTGTGGTTTGTTATTATTTATTATTTTATCTACTTCTAAATAAGAAAGAATAAATTTATTACAACATTCTTAAGAAGACACAAACTGTGCAAAGACTCTTTATGAACTTTAATACGATTCAGACTGGAAATGTGTTATAGTTGTGCTATAGTTGTTGTGACTTTGGAGCTCATTCAGCATGACACAGACATGTAAAATTGCCAAAAACATTTATGGAAATGCATATCTGAAATAGAAGTGTGTGTGTGTGTGTATGTGTGTGCGCACTCACACAATGGTTTTCCCCACACGTTTGAAGGCCTTTTCCACAAACTCCCTCACACTGTGCACCTCCCCCGTCGCTATGACGAAATCCTCTGGCTCCTCCTGTTGCAGCATCAGCCACATAGCCTGAAAGAGACAGAGGGACAGACAGACAGACAGACAGACAGACAGAGACAGAGAGGTTAAACCACTGAGAGATCATAAAGACAGTTCAGTGCTCCACACTGGACTCTGCCCAACTTGGTACTGACAGACAGGAAGTGAACCTGCGACCTCTGAGCGGGGCATTCGGCCGTACCTCTGTCCTGACGTCACCGCGGGGGCTCATGGGACAAATACCGTGGGAAAGGAGGACAGAGCGGTCCCACAGGCCCACTGTGTTGCTGGCACACAGAAAAACGCACACGTGGTCATGAACGCACACACGCACCTATGCACACAAACAGATTCGCACACACCGGTCACCATTAGACAAATGAAAAGTTAATAGCAAAGTTAAGGAGGTGATAAACCTCCAGAAATAAAAGTACGACAGCATCCAGTTCTGACTTGTGTTCACTATTTCTAACTACACGGTGCAGGCAGTATTATTATTAGCCTATATACCCTAGTGAAAGCTGATATTCTGGGTCCCTTAATGGACCCAGCACTATATTAAACAGACAGCGAGGGCGTCTGTGCGTGGTTCCATAATATTTATGGTGAACCAGAGCCAGCGGGTCAGAGCTGCTGACCTCTGGCACGTCTACCCTGATTAGAAGAGACTCGCCGGGGACAGAGACAGACAGACAGACAGACGCTCCCATCTATACTGACAAACGAAATCAGGACACAAGCACAGATTTTTAAAGTCTTGTATATAGAGTGGATATTATTTAGATTTTAATGCTTTTTGAATTCAGTTTGTCTGGTTCCGATTCTTGTTGCCTTATGTGTTTATGTGTTGCCACAAATGTCAATGTATTCTGTGACTCCTCAGTGTTACCCCTTTAATATCTTAACCAACAGTCCACAATTCGTAATCATTTCACTGCAGACAGAAAACTCAATAAAACACTTCCTGTCGATGTCAGTCATAATGCTTTTGTTGTGCTTTTTGTAGTCCTAGTAACTGACATTGGTGACTCATTGGTGCACCCAAAAGGGTCACCATATAGATACTAACTTTTTTATATCAATAGTTCAGTTAAAATATTAAGACAAATGGTAAAAGAAGAAATAGCTTAACTGAGCTGATTAGATGAAGAGATAAACAGATGCTTACAGATGTACACCTCATGAAGGTAAGCTCTCTACAGCAGAAAAGGTGAATAGGAGTGGAGTTTCCTTCCTCTCTGTCTCTACTGAGGTGACTTAAACACTTTGCCTGTCTCGCTCTCCGAGGAGCAAATCAGCACAGTTTATGTGCTCTACTTGGATTTGATTTAGTGTGTGTGTATGTGTTCCATCCAGCCACATCAGGAGGTTTTATGTGATACAGTTGGATGGAGCAGAGGCTGGCTGTCTCCCTCTGCACATTTAGCAGATTCTGTGTTCCCTCTGCAGTAGTACTCATACATGTGTCTTTTGCAGACACACATGAACTAAAAAGCTTAAGTTCCCAGTAGCAGCCACAAGAAGCTTCAATGTTCACACCCCACAAACAAAACACATAATGGAAACACTTTCCTAATGATTTTTCTCTTCCATAAAAGGTTTATTCACTTTACAGCATAAATGTGCTCAGTAAATTTCATTGATTTAAATAAGGAGAAATGTCGCCAAAATATTATGATAAATGCTTTGAGAGCCATGAATATCTACAGCAAATGTTATGCAATGTTCTTTCAATACTCTTCCGTGACCTGACAAGACAGAGGATCAGAGCTCCAAGAAAATCATAAGAAATCATCTTCTGGGGATCATGAATATTTCTATAAGTTTTCATGGCAATATGACACGTTGGTTTTGCTGAAGGAAAGCTTATGGAGTGCCCAGAATGGAAAATGTTAGTGATACTCTCATGTGTAAAAGCACAACATTTGACCTGCGACAATGTCCCAATCAACAGAGGAAAGATCAGGCAGGTCACTATTAGCGAGCTACCTTTTGGGGACCATGGATATTGATATCATATTTCATGGTAATGACATCCTGCTCTGGATGAATATTGCTGATAGTGGGATTGTATAAGCACATGTCTGCTCTGAAACACACACACACACACACACACACACACACACACACACACTCTAAGAGTGATGGAATGCTCCTCCTCAGGGAGGCGAGGCCGTCCTATCTCAGGATCGTTCAGGGTCACCTGACCGCTCAACGTTGATGGCTCCCCTGAGCCTGACCTCTCACCCTCCGGCCCCTGATGAACACACCAGATTCTCACACCGCCACCCAAGCCAATAATAGCACGTCGGTGTATGACTGACAGCAGAACAAACGAATTGAAGCGTGTTCATGTTTCCACAACCAGAGCGCCATCAGAATCTGTGTTCCCAATTGTTTCCACATTTCGCGCTCGTTAAGTTGACAGGAAAATGAAATCATCTAACGAAACCACGTTTGTCTTTCTGTCAATATATTTCTCAAAGGGTCCCTCTGGAGTTTTGTTGTAAACAAACAAAAGTTTACATTTAGTGTCAATCACCAAAACACATTGTGTATCCTTGAGGTCTAACAAACGTGAAGTGCATTTCCATCACGTGAAACATTTTTTAAACCTCCACATTTACTAGTTTGCAGTCTCCTTCCCCGTCTCTGCTGGCACATTGTAGTATATACTGGCATTACTGCTACCTTTATCAGAGAAATAGTGTGACACCATTGGTATGACTGTGTATCTCATCAACCCAAGATAAACAGAACGGGGACCCACTCATTAAAAAGTGGCTCCATAGCGCTACTATGGGTCTAAACACAGGAAACCTTTAAGGAGTTAAAACAGTAAAAACAAAACAAAAAACAACACATGGAAATAGTTTCTTTGCCCCTTAAATGGTAAAGCAAAGCAGCATTTCGGTGCACGTAGGAAAGTACACGTTACAATGCCTTAAAAAATGAATCCATTAAGTTTAAAATTGCCACGTTGTATGTGAATGTCAAATCAATGTTGATGGTAAATGTAGTCAATTAAAGAAATAAATTCCACAGTGAACGCCACATTAACATAGAAAGCTGAGTTCCTCTGCTCACATAGCCATGCCGACAGGGCCTACATGTACCAGAATGCATTGCATGCGAGCCTCTGACTCCCAAGCCCACTGAGCAACCTAAGTTATATACAATGTTGCCAAGCAAATATTCCTGGAGTTTGACATATTATTTTTTTTACATAGAGCAATATTGTTATTTTTTGAAGAAGCCTGTAGTTCTTCCTGGACGTCAACTACATCACTGTCCTGTATGTGTCAAATGACAGTGCTGGTGCCCGAAGAAAAGTTTGAATACAGCACACACTTTACAAGGACTTTACTGCTTCAGTTCACTACATTCACCATCACAGGATCTGGAAAGAGCATCTGTGGGGGGTTACACTTGTATGTAGTTAAAATGTGATGTCCAAAATTTTTATCTCTGTACTGAACAACCCCAAGTGAGGTTACCTGTCTAAATAAAGGTTAAATAAATCAGTAAGTAAAAGTGATTGGACATCTTCATTAAACGTGGCAACATTTCCCTTTAATGCACTGACAGAATTGAGTCAACTGTATTTATGTATTTTCTATATACAGGATACTGATGGACAGAGATAAAAATATATTAACCAGAAAGCCAATCAATCACAATTTGGATAATTAATTAATCCCTTAACACCTCTGTCAAGCAAAATGGAAACATTCATTTGGCCATTTCCTAGACCAAACGATTAATCCAAAAATAAAATATATCAATAGTGAAAGAAATCATTAGTTGCAGCCTGACATATTACACTATAACATAAACAATGCAGATCATAGATCTAGCCTGAGAATTTAAATCAGATGTAAATTCTCATTGTGCCATATTAAAATAATTCAACCTTTCTGTTCTCAATGTGAACAGGATTAATCAGTGGAGACGGTGAAATATCAAACACAGACATCTACACTGTAATGTTTTGATCATCTGACTGGCTGATTATTTGAACTTGTAATGAAGCAGGCTCTTTTCCTGCGGACCACACTGATGAATGTGGGGCCTGCAGTAAACTGGACGGCTGTGATGATGGGAGTTGGGAACGCGGCTCGACTTCTCTTGCAGCCAGAGAAAATGTTTACGGCAGGAGCTGAGTGATATGGCCTCTGCTGATTTTTAACCAGGAAATGTGATAAATAATATGATGTGTATTTTTCTGCTCATTGTAGTGGGAATAAAGCTCAGTGAAATCATGAGAGACTCTGGTTCCTTCTTATGACCCCGTTCAGCGATAACAGCTAAGTACTGGCTTCACTGCGGGTATTCCCACATTCAGCTCATCTTTTTCTGAACTCTTTTACATCAGCGCACCCTTCTTTCCCCTACCTCATTTTACCTTTTGCCCCCTTTCTCTTCTCCTTTCCCTTGTGCTGCCCCTCCTCCCTCCCTCAGGATTGCTCTGCTTCATTAGCTATCTGATAAACAGCTCAGGGGTTCAGCCCTTCACACTGAACCCGCACCTTCCTGTTCACATGGCCACAGGATGACCCCCATCACGCACTCCACACTCGACTCCAGCTATGAGACAGATACTGACCCCTGCAACCACCCACAACCCCTTCACCTGAATTATACTCTGACATACACAAGGGGAAACCTGGCGACTAAAGTTCAAATGCTATGTTTTGTTGAGAGACCGGGGGAAAAACATGTATGTATATCGTGTCTCTGACATTTTAAGTTCCTGATAGGAATGCTTTGAAATCTGTATTTTGGTTTAACTTCTAGTTGCCAAGTTTGTTAGTGTGACTACCAGGTATCAGAAAAGTCAAATACAGGTAAGGGATCAGTTCTGTTTTTAGATCTGGTTACATGTTGGTGAACTATATTGTTAAGTCTAATACGTTTCTTCTCATTAATGTAGGGCTAGGCAATATGACAATATATAACATAGGATTATATTGGATTTCCAGGATCTGACACCAATTTAATGAAGTAGCTTGAGCCATCAGATTTAATTA